TGGATTCAAATGCTAATCTCTCAAGGTCCAGGCCAATGTTTTTTTCCACTGCTCTGAGATACATAAGATGCATTAGGAAAATGTAACACACATGGTTGGAAAAAAGTTTCATCCATACTTACAGCCCAATTATAAGATGCACTTCACTTTTAGATATGTAAAAAATATTCAGAATCAAGAAAATATAAAGTGTAATATGCTGTAAGATATTAAGAATTTGACAAATGAATCCCTCCTGTTTGTTAAACTCTGCTATCTTCAAGGTGTAGAGAAGGAAATCTTTGGTGTAGAGAAGATTATACAGAAAGTGTGAGACATAATCCCTCCTTCTCAAGGAAATCAGTGTTTTCTCTGGAGAGAGATCTGAAAAACAGCATGCACGTGGGACCACATGGTCAGAACCTAAGGACAGGCCCAGGAGAGAAGCGCTGAGGAATCTCATTCATTCTCATAGCTTCAAATACCATCTTGAGAGAGATGGTTCTTCAGTTACTGTTTCTAGCCTTGACCGGACCAGCTCCATTTTTATGTTTTCCATGTGTTCAGCTGCCTCCTAGACATTTTCAGCTGACATCCTCAGGTTGACTTCAATGAAGCATCATCTTCCCCAGCAACCTTGCTCCGGCTTCTGTGTTTCTCATCTTTGCAAGGCCGTGATTTCCCAGTTGCCACAGCTGGAAATCTCAGTCATTCTGAGGATGCGGGCTCACCTTCACACTTCTCTACCATTGCCAAAGCTAGTTATCACAGAGACCTGCTGGTTCTTGCCCCAGCATCAGTGTAAAACCCAGAGAGTCATTTTATTTTGGACTTCCTTAGTGGTTCAGGCTCCCAACATCTTTTGTTTTTGTTATAGCAAGAGCCCCGTGTTTCATAATAGCACATTTCCTCTCAGTCTATGGCTCGCCTTTCCATTTTCTTACAATGTCTTGGAAGGGCAGAGTTTCCAATTCTAATGAGATCCAAGCCATCAGCTTCTTTCACGCTGCTCGCTTTTTGTGTCGTGTCTAAAAAATAGTCACTTAACTCACAGCCAGGAGGATTTTCTGTTGTTTTCCTGCAGAAGTTTTACAGTTTCACTTTTTACATTCAGGTTGATGATCTGTATCAAGTTAATTTTTGTGTACATGTGAGGAAAAGTTCACTAGCTTCATTATTTATTTAAATTGTGACATAATTGAGACATAGCATTATTTAACATTACATAGTTTCACGTATACAGCATGTTATTAATTATGCTGTATGTGATATTGTGTGTAAATGTGTGCATTGATTACATATGTGTGTATTGATTATGCTATTATATATATATATGTATATATATGGTGAAATGACCACCACAGCAAGTAGTTAACATTCATTACCACACAGTTATAATTTTTTTTCTTATAATGAGAACTTTTAAGATCTCTCTTGGCAACTTTCAAATATGCAATACAGCATTATTAACTATAGTCACCATGCTATACATTTCATCCCTAGGAGTTATTTATTTTGTAACTGGAAATTTGTACCTCTTGACCAGCTTCACCCATTTCATCCACCCTGCATTCTCCACCTCTGGAGCTGGCAGTACTTAGTCACTCTGTCCTGTCATCACTCTGTGATGCCATGGACTATAGCCCTCCAGGCTCCTTGCTCTATGGGATTCTCCAGGCAAGGATACAGGAGTAGGTAGTCATTCCCTTCTCCAGGGGATCTTCCTGACTCAGGGATCAAACCCAGGTCTACTGCACTGCAGTCAGATTCTTTAGAGTCTGAGTCACAGGGAAAACCTTCTCTACCTCTAGAACCACCAATTTATTTTATCTAGGAGTCTGAACTTTGGCTTTTTCTTTTTCTTAGATTATGTATATAAATGACATCATATTATATTTGTCTTCCTCTGTCTAACATATTCACTTAGCATAATGCCCTGAAGGCCCATTCATGTTGCTGCAAATGGCAAGCTTTCCTTTTTGGTGTCTGAGTAATATTCCATTGAATACATACCACATATTCTTTATCCATTCATCTACTGATGGGACATGTAGGTTGCTTCCATGTCTTGGCACAAAAGCCAAATAATGCATTGGACATAAGTGTGCATGTATCTTTTTGAGTTAGTGCTTTTCACTTTTTTTGGATGAATACCCAGAAATGGATTTGCTATATCACACATTAGCTCTTTTGGTAAAATGTTTGAGGAACCTCCATATTATCTTCCATAGTGGCTGCACCAGTTTACATTTTTACCAGTAGTGTTCTAGGCTTCCTTTTGCTTTCTATCCTTACCGACCTTTGTTATTTGTTGTCTTTTTAATGATAGCCATTCTGACAGGCATGAGATGATATCTCATTGATTTTGATTTGCATTTCTTTAATGATTAGTGATGCTGAGCATTTTTTCATGCACTTGTTAGTCATCTGTATGTCTGTTTTAGAAAAATGCCTATTTGGGTCCTCTGTTCATTTCTTAATTGGATTGTTCAGGGGTTTTATTTTTATTTGTTTGCTATTGAGTTGTGTGACTTCTTTACATAGTTTGGATTGCTGTTGTTCAGTTGCTAAGTCATGTCTGAGTCTTTGCAACCCCACGGACTGCACAATGCCAGGCTTCCCTGTCCTTCACTATCCCAGAGTTTGCTCAAATTCATGTCCATTGAGTTGATGATGCCATCCAACCATCTCATCTTCTCTTGTCACCTTCTCCTGCCTTTAGTCTTTCCCAGCATCAGGGTCTTTCCCAATGAGTCAGTTCTTTGCATCAGATGGCTAAAGTATTGGAGTTTCAGCTTCAGCATCAGTCCTTCCAATGAATATTCAGGACCGATTTCCTTTAGGATTTACTGGTTTGATCTCCTTGCAGTTCAAGGGACTCTCAAGAGTCTTTCCAGCACTGCAGTTCAAAAGCATCAGTTCTTTGGCTCTCAGCCTTCTTTATGGTCCAATCTCACATCCATACCTGACTACTGGGAAAGCCATAGCTTTGACTCTAAGGAAGGACCTTTGCTGGCAATGTGATATCTCTGCATTTTAATATCTTGTCTAGATTTGTCATTGCTTTTCTTCCAAGGAGCCAGCATCTTAACATTTCATGGCTGTAGTCACTGTCTGCAGTGATAGTTTGGATATTAATCCCTTATGAAACACATGATTTGAAAATATATTCTCCTATTCCATAGGTTGCCCTTTCATTTTGTTGATGATGTCCTTTGCTGTGCAGATAAATTCTTAAGTGATAGTCTTCATCTCAGTTTCCTCCTTGTCAGTTTCATTCTATTCCTCTGCCTCCTGAATTATCCTTCTTTAACACAGAACTGCTCATCTGACCTCTACTTAAAGACTGTTCTTAATGGCTTTCAAAGTCTGACTACTGAAAACTGTTGAAGTATGCCTTTGTATTTTTTCTTTCCACCCTTCAAGTACACTATACTGTACATACTCAATTACAGTAGACAACAGTTAGCCAGGGTCCCTGGCTCCATTCATATATTTGCTAATTTAGTTAATTCATATTCCAATTGAACAAATATCACATTCTTAATTGAGAATTTAGGTTCTAGGGATAAATCTGGGGAAGACTGAGGGCAGGAGGAGAAGGGGACAACCAAAGATGAGATGGTTGGCTGGCATCACTGACTCAATGGACATGAGTTTGAGCCGGCTCCAGGAGTTGGGGATGGACAGGGAACCCTGGCGTGCTGCAGTCCATGGGCTTGCAAAGAGCTGGACACGACTGAGCGACTGAACTGAGCTGAACTGAGGGATAAAGCAATGAACAGCATAGACAGAGTCTCTTAACTCTAAGAGTTACATTCTGACATGGAAAAACCAACAGAAAGTTTTAAAATAAAATAAATAAATAAAATATATCAGTAGGCATACACACACATGTGTGCTTTTTTGTGCATTGCATCTATAACCTCAGATAGTAAAATACTATTGAGAAAAATAAAGGAGGTGGTTTATTATAAAATAAAAGGCTTTATTTAGTGCTGAAATGGCATTTGAGGCATGAATTCAAGGAAGTGAATGAGTGAGTCACAAGGTACAGAGGAGCACATTCAGGACATGGGGAAGAGCAAGTGCAGATGGTCCAAGTTCACTGATCACTTTCTTTGTTGTTTTCAAGCTTCCCGTAAGCCCAAAGAATTATTAATTTGTTTTCATTTAATTTTTTATAGTTTCCTTGTCTTTGCTGAAATCCTGCATTTATTTATGCACACGGGTCATCTTTTCCACTATATACTTTCCTTTCTTTTAATATCCTTACCTGGGCCAAACTTGGGTCTTCTTCTTTTTTCTCAGTATATTTATTTTTCATTGAAGGATAATTGCTTTACAGTATTGTGTTGATTCCTGCCAAATATCAACATGAATCAGCCATAGCTTTACCTATGTCCCTTCCCACTTGGATATCCCTTCTTGTATTGACTGTTTCCTGTGTTGGTTGTGGGTCCCATCATCTGACTTCTTTACATGTCTTATACTTTTGTATAATATGCTGCATATCTTGTATAAAGTAGAGAACAAAATATTTACCTCTGTAAAACGGCACTCCTCTTCTGTCAGGTTTCCAACATGCTGAGTTAATCTACAGTTGATTTGAGTTAGAGCTTTGTTGAAGATTTGGTTCGAAACAGCTCCTCATTAGCTTCACTTGTGAGGGTGAATCAGGAATTTTCCTTCAGCAGATTTTGGGATCTGACTCCCAGTGCAGCTCTGGAACTATCCTTCTGCTTTATAACCAGGCTGGTAGGTTTTGAGGATCTAGTCCATTCTTCTAACTGTCTAGTCCTGCCTCCAACACTCGCATTTCAGGAACCCTCGGTCCTGATGACCTGCCCCGTGTCTTCTCGGATGGCTCTGCGCCTTGGACAAATGTGTCTCAGCAGTTTTCTGCCTCAATCCTAGCGCCCACAGCCTTTTTTTGACCCTCCGTGATGCCCCGCTGTGCGTAAGGAGGTTGGCCTCAACTTCCCCCCGCCAAGCCAGGGCTGCAGCAGGCATCCCCTCACCTCGCACTTGGAGAAGGCCCTGAGCAGCTCAGGGACATCGCTGTGCGATTCTGCCCCTGACCTCGGCGTTCTACCTCTGAGCACGTGGTGAGCACTGGGGCGGAGGACGTGCGCTCTGTCGCAGGCTCCCGGGCTTCCGGTCCGTCGTGTCCATCCGCACAGAGCCCTGCCAGGCTCCACCGGCGTGTCCTCCTCCTGGTGAGCGTGGGTTTCTTCTCCCGCCGCTTCTCTGGGGACGAAAGCAGAAGCGGTCTTCTCGCCTCAGAAAAGGTTCCCGCCGCTTTAAGCTTCGTTCACGTTTCATGCTTTGCATCCCCAGTTCTCTGAAACTCTGCTTCTGTAGGCTTTTTGGCTTGTTCTTGTCAGGGTCAAAGGGATGCTCACTATCTTGTGGTTCTGTCCATGCTGACTGGAAATGGAGGCCTTGCATCCAAATATGAGACACAACTGATAGGAAAAGGCTTAGGTGAATTTTGATTTAATCTAAAAAGAAGTTAGATGAATTATTAATTTTCTATTTTATAGTTCTGTGTCTCCCTAGTGTATGTCAGGGATTGTTCTAGGTACCAGAAATAGATGAACAAGATAAATGTGAAACTAATGTGTTTTAGGAGATGTGAACCAAAAGAAACAATTATCCTAAACATTTGGTTTTAGATAATGGCAAATACTTTGGGGGAAATGAAGTAGGGACATATTAAACTGAGTTTACTCGCTATCTTGGGTTTACCAACCTTACCTAACTCTGTGCCCATTCTGGCTGTTTACTTCATTGGCTGGATTGGACCTAACACTTGCTTACACCGTCTTGGAGTCCTAAAGGTACCACAGTCAGCCCCATCCCTGTCCCTTCCCTACCTGGAGTGGACGCTTGTATCCTCTGGCTTGTTCAGTAGCTGCCTGTAAGAGCCACACCACACAACCTGGAAGTGTGCAGACCTCACACCTGCTAGGATGGCTATTATTTTAAAAAATAGAAAATAATAATAAATAAATAATAAATGTTGATGGGAACGTGGAGAAATTGAAACCCCTGTGCATGGTAGGTAGCAATATACAATGGCACAGTTGCAATGGAAAATAGTATGGCAGTTACCCAAAATTAAAAATAGAGTTACCACACGATCCAGCAATTCCACTTCTGGGTATTTGTCAAGAGTTGAAGCGGGATCTTGAAGAGAGATTTTCCCGTGTGTGTACAGCAGCCTTATTCACAATAGCCAAGAGGTGGAAGCAATGCGAAGGTCCGTCAAGGGAGGAATAAATAAACAAGATGTGGTTATAAATACGGTGGACTATTGCTCAGCATTAACAAGGAACAACAGGTCAGTGGACATGAGTCTGAGCAGACTCGGGAGATAGTGAAGGACAGAATCCTGGCATGCTGCAGTTCATGGGGTTGCCAAGAGCCGGACACAACTTAATGACTGAGCAGCAGCGACGACAGTGAAGGAAATCCTGTCACATACGCAGCAGGGAGGCAGCCTGAAGATGTCATACTCAGTGAAACGAGCGAGACACAAGAAGATAAACACTGGACAATCGCAATTGTATGAGGCGCCGACAGCAGTCAGAGTCCTAGAGACAGAGAGTAGAGTGGCCATGGATAGATGCTGGGGAAGAGAGGGGTGGGAGTTTTTTGTTGTTGTTGTTCATGGGTATAGAGCTTCAGTTTTGCAAGAAGACAAGCGTTCTGGAGATTGGTGACACACAGGTGAATGTACTTAGCAGTACTGGACAGTATGGCTAAAAATGATGGTAAATTTCATGTCGTGTGTGTTTTACCACAATTGGAACAGAACCTTATAAAGTAGACTTCAAGTAATTGCAGACAGTAGATTGGAAGGAGCGAAAAGACAAATGGCTCATTCTTTCTCTCAGTGACCCCTATATTGTCAGACTGTAGGGTACTCAATAATTTCATAGTCCTTTTGGAGATGCTGTGAGACCAAGGTGTTTTGTTTTGTTTTTTTTTTGAGAAACCATGACCAGCTGAGCAACAGCCCCCCATGACATACGCTCCCACGTCCCTTTTATAATCTTATTTTCCTAGGATTTCAACCTAGTTCCTTCTGCTAAAAAATACACTTTAGTATTTAACTCTTGAATCAAGTTTTCTTTTCTAGGGAACCCAGGCTCAAGCAGTAAGTTTGTTTTACAGTAGATGGTTTGTTAGGGAAAATGGTTTAGGAGAGATCCCTTTTGAGCTGAAGTTTAAATTAGGAAGTAGAATGCAGAGATGTTTGCGAAGGGTGTTCCAAACAGCAAGTGCAAAGGCCCTCATGTGGGAGCAGCTTAGCATTTTTCAGGATTAATGAGAAGGGTAATATAGTTGGTATGAAGTGAGAAAGAAGTGATGGGAGAGGAGGTGCAGAAGAGACCCCATCTGCTAGGGCTTTGGAGGCGTGGAAAGGATTCTGAAATTTATTCCAAATGATGGGAGCCAGTGGAGGGCAGTTAAATCACCTGAGCTACAGCTATAATCAGCTGGGCTACAGCTATATATATACTAATGCCTGGCATGCTGCAGTCCGTGCGGTCGCAGAGTCGGGCACGACTGAGCGACTGAACAACAATAGCTATAAAAGAATCTTTTTGTCTGTAATTAAAAAAACAAACAACAAGACAAATGTTAGTAAGGATGTGGAGAAACTGGTACCCTTGCAGGTTGTTGGTGGATATGTAAAATGATGCAGCTGCTCTGTAAATTATTTAGGTAATTCTGCATCCAGTTAAACCATATGGCCCACCAACTCAACTCCTATATGTGTATCCCAAAGCACTGAAAACAGGAATTCAGACAAAAACTTTTGCATAAATGGGAAGGGCAGAACTAGTCATAATTATCAAAGGTGAAAACAACCCTAATGTCTGTCAACTGTAAAATGGATAAACTAAATATACTGTATGCATATATGGGAATACTGTTCAGCTGTATGAAGGAATGAACTTCTGATACATGCTGTAACATGGATGCCTCTTGAAAACATGCTAAGTGAAAAAAAAAAAAACAGACCCCAAGTAGAATCTGCTCTGTGATTCCATTTATGTGAAAAACCCAGAGTAGGTCATCCATGGAGACAGAAGGCAGATAAGTGGTTGTCAGGGGCTGGGAAGGGGAGGAATACGGGGTGGCTGCTAATGGGCGCAGAGCTTCCTTTTGGGATGAGGAGGATGCTTTGGAAAGGGTGTTTGTATATGTTGTAAATGTACTACATGTCACTGGACTGTACGCTTTTACATGATTTGTTTTATGCTACCTGATCTTTCTTGTTTCTTTCTGAACAGCCTTCGGTTGGAGTGAACAATGATCTGGATTGGTGTTAAGAGGATAATTCCTATGGCAAAGAATTAAAATCAAGCAGGGAGTTCATTTAGGAGAATAGTGTACCAGTTCAGGGAAGAGATGATGGTGGCTCAGGACACCGTGGTGGTAATGAAGATCTCGGATGAAATGAATGTGGGGTCAGGGAGGAAGTCTGAAGAGGCAGGTGGAAGGCAGTGAGATGACTCTTTCCTCAGTGGGGTCTGAGAACACGGTACACTCATGCATGAGCTTCCTTTCTTGTGGGCCCTGGTACATTTCAGTGGACTGAGGACCACTTGGTTGGTTCAAACTTTTATCTAGAAATAGATAACCAGGTTTACTTGCTTCTGACAGTTGCCTATTTTCTTATTGATAGTTTTTTTTTTGTCTTACTGTTAGTAGAAGAGGAAACAGAAAAATATGCAATATTTCTAGTCCTCCTCCTGCCTTTTATAGATACAGTGGAGACTGTTTATGGTTTAATCATTAGATGTTTTACTGCGCTCTAAAATGGGTAAAACCTTTTTCTCAATGTTCCCTTCACTTTGGAAATTCATTTGGGGGCCAACTGGCTGTTTTGCAGTTTCATGATGATGCCGATGACTCTTATGTTTGTGGTGGGGTTCTGCTGGAGAATTCCATCCTCCCTTCTGTCATCTCCTGAACTTGAACTGGCCTGCAACAGGGTATAAAAGCCATTTTGAGTTTCTGCAAAACAGAGTTAGGTTAAAACCTCAAGCAAGAGTTGGATTGTTCCACACTTGTTTGATTTTTTTTTTTACTATGAAAGAAGAAAAAAATGTATAAACCCTAGCTTTTTCAACAAGTCAAATCATTTTGTGTAAAAGAAATAGTACCAGAGAATTAGAATTCAGTAACTTTTCATTTTGATCAGCCAGTTTTGTGTTTCATTAGATCAGTTGTACTCTTTTCCTCAATCGGGACTACTCTGAGTCTTTTAGGCAAGCCGAGATAAATGGGAGTGAGATGGAGTAGTAATTGGGACCATGAAAAGCCCGCTACCCTACGTGTTCTGTAAACAGGACAGCTCAATTATCTGAAAAGTATTTGTGTAGTGGAGACACAAGTGGAGTGAATAATAACCTGGATGGATGCTAAGGAAAGAATTCCTGTGGCAGAGAATTGAAATCAATGTGCTCAATTTTCCCTGAGTGCAAACGCTAGTAGATTTGTTCAGTGTTATTTGTTTTTATAACCAACATAATACTGTTTCCATAAAAGGGAAAAAAATTAAGGTCAGGAATCATGCACACACCATGAGCATGGGTGATTTCCACGCCGACAGAAGTTAAGGCTCCCCTCTGGGCTACAGTGCATTAAAGTCTTTTTCCACCTCTCAAGTTTCGGAAGATCAGTGAGTTCCTCTGTATAATGGAAACTATCCCATAAAAAGGAAACTGGGATAGAAAGCTACTTGTAAAAATGTGTTTTTTTGGAAAATAACATGCCCAGGTGCTGTAAGTTAGCACTTTAACTTTTCAGTGCAAGAATATAAAAATAGGTCAAGAGATATATTAAAATAGATCATGGTGAGGTTGTTCCAATGACTGTCACAGATAAGCCAGCGGCAGCACGTCATAGATAATACGGGTTTTCTCCCTGGGAAGTCTCAGTTATAACTAGGAAGGTTCACAGTGGTGGTCACTCATAAGCCCGTAGGGGGTGATGGAGGTTTTTGCTCAGTGTCTCCCCTCCCTCAGACTAGTCTGCCACCTTCCTTATAGCCTGTTCCATCTTGACAATCGCCCCCTGGAAGGAAGACAGGCGACCACGCCTCTTGAGCACGGGGCCAGTTGCCCCCTTGACCGAGTGCGGGTCGCGGAAGCTGCTCCCCTGTGGCTGCCACTCTGGCTATGCTGGAAATTCTGGGACAGAGTGGAGCGCAGTGAGAAGGGATGGACCCCAAAATATTAAATTAGGAGCACTATGTTCTCTGTCTAGTACAGTATTTTCAAAAACTGAATCGGCTTTCAGTATTTTAGAATTGGAAGTTTATACACACACATACACAAATCCCAGGAAAACTGCCTCCTGGGCGTATATCTGGAAAAGATGAAAACTCTGATTTGAAAAGAGAGATGTGCCCCAATGTTCAAAGCAGCACTATTTACAATAGCCAAGACATAGAAGCAGCATAAGTACCCATCAACCAATAAATGGATAAAGAGGATGTGGTGCGCATATACAATGGAAAGCTACAAAGCTGTAAAAGAATGAAATAATGCCACTTTCTGCAACACGGATGCAACTAAAGATGATCATACTAAGTGAAGTCAGTCAAACAGAAAGATATCATGTGCTATCACTTATATGTGGAATCTAAAAACATGATACAAATGAACTTATTTTAAAACCTGAAATAGACTCACAGACATAGATAAGAAACTTATGGCTAGCAGAGGGGAAAAGAGGGATAAATTCGGAGTTTGGGATTAACTGATAGAAGCTACTATATATAAAATAGAGAAACAACAAGGACCTCCTGTATAACATGGGATGATATTCAATATCTTGTAATAGCCTATAATGGCAAAGAATCTGAAAAAGTATGCACATATAACTGAATCACTTTTCTGTACACCAGAAATGTGTTAAGTCCAATTTTTAAAAATGGAAAAAATAAGAAGTAGAGAACTGTAGCCTTGGAGTCATATTCTCATATGGCCTCAACCAGCTGTTGCCAAGCAGGAAGGCTCTTCAGGAGGTTTAAGGGCACAGAGTTTCCCGTTTACTTACTCCTCGTCAGCACTGCTGGTCTGTTTTCCTGCCCAGATCCCCTAGAAATCTGAGTTGAAAACCCCATGTTAGTGAATGTGAATGAGAGCCTCATATTAGTGACAGTGAATCTCTTTGTGCGGTGGAGGTGGCTAATCAGGACCAGTTAGTTAATGCCTTTCTGACCTTAAGCCCTAAACTGCAGAGCCAAGCCTCACAGTCCTCTCCCCTATGTTCCCTCCCTTTCTGTCTGCAGTTGCTACCATGTAACAGTAGATAATGCGGTTCATTCTTGGGAGGAGTTGTGGAAAAGAGAATTGTGTGGAAGGGCTCTCCCTGTGGCTGGCTGTCTTGGGATGTCTCTGAGAGGGGATATGATCCCATCTAAAGAAGCTTGCAGCAGGAGAAAATAATTATCTTTCTTCCAAATTGCTGCAGTCTTTCTGGAAGGCAATTTATTAGAGCATTTATAAAAAGCTGTTATATATATATATATATATATATATATATATATATCCTTTCAGCCTGTAATTTCATTCCTGGAAACATATTTTGAAGGAAGAAGCAGACCTGGGGTCAACCCACATATGGTGATGGTATTTATAACTGCAAAAAATAAATATTTAGATTGTATCTATATTTTAAAATTAAAATAAAATCTGGCATAGTCTTATAAATTGAAGCTATGCCACCACTGAAAATAATGTTTAAAAGAATATTAAAAAAAATATTCAATGATGGGGTAGATATATATAATGTATTATAGAATGGACCAAAGCAGTAAGATTTCAGCCCTCTGAAACTCACATTTGTTTGCAGATATACAGGGAAAGACCAGAACTATTTCATGACAAACTGTTAATAGTGATTATCTAGAATAGTGACTTTGATTTTTTTCTTTTCTATAATTTGCATATTTCTTTTTTTTCTGCCAATAGATAATTTTTTTAAGCAGGAAAAAATAGTTTATTTAAAGATTCTTTCTTCCTATTCCTCTTCTCACTTTCCCACAATCTCTCTCACAACTTTCTTTCAACAATCGGAATTAGATGCAAGAATCAAAAGGCCAGAATGGTGACCAAGTGACTGATATTAGAGCATCTTAAACAGGAGCTAGTCTGCATGAGTTCAAGTCCCAGTTCAGACGACACTCTGGCTTCATGGGCTTCACCAAGCATTTCGCTTTTCTGAACCTCAGTTTCCCCAACAGCAAAATGAGCGTGTGACAGTACTTACGTCCTTGGCTTGTTGTGAGGATGTGTGACCTCCGGACAAGCTGACTGCTGGATGGCTCCCCAGCCAGGACGGGGCCATCTGGGGCCAACAGAGAAGTGCAGTTCAAGGCCCACAGTGAGCCGCGAGCCGGTCCCTGCGGGGAGGGGTGAGAAGGCTTTCATGGGGGAGAAGTCAGCCAGAGGGCGGTAGTAAAAAGAAGTGTGTTACCTAAGATGGCTGGGGTGACAATGACATTTCCCACAGCCCTATTCCCGACCCTGGAATCAGTCAGAGGTTCGGGAGGCGAAAGTGAAGCCGCGTCCATCAGGCTGTGAGGGCTCTGGTGGCGTGGAGGCGGGGAGAGATGGGAAGAGGTTCCGGCTCGTCTTGCTGAGTACCCACGGATTTGTCCAGCCGGGGCCCTGCCCCATCAGACACTGTGCTGGAAAGGCACTGCCCTGTGCTTTCCAGAAAACCAGGCGCCAGGCTTCCAGGTGTCTCCCAGGATGGAAGCTGGTTCTCCTGCCCCGTGGAGAGCACTTTCCTCCTTTCTCAGTAATTTCCCTTCTCGAGATCTTCCCACGGAGATCTAAGATCTCACTCTTAGAATGAGCAGCTTATTCCATTGCCCTCAGTGCTTTCCTGATGGGAGTCCTTAAAGGACAAAGTCCAGAAGGGAATGAGGTTATCTTCTTAAAAAACTTTCTACTGGAGTGTAGTTGCTTTACAATGTTGTGCTAGTCTCTGCTGATGGTGAGAGAGTTAATTCTTAGGTAGGTTGATGAGGAGTATAGGAGGAGGAGGAGGAAGGGGTTCAGGGACCCTGAGGAGGAGAAAGGGACAAACTTGAGGATGAGATGGTTGGATGGCATCACCGACTTTCATGAACATGAGTTTGAGTAAGCTTCAGGAGTTGGTGATGGACAGGGAAATCTGGTGTGCTGCAGTCCATCGGGTCACAAAGAATCAGACAGGACTGAGCTACTGAACTGAACTGAAGAGTAATGTATCTTGCTCGAGGACATGTTTTTCCTTTTTAACATGAACCTTCTGACTAACCTTGTTATCTTAAGATGTATGTTGTGGGAGTGGGCCTAGTCAGTCAGTTCAGTTCAGTTGCTCAGTTGTGTCTGACCCTTTGAGACTCCAGGGACTGCATCACACCAGATTTCACTGTCCATCACCAACTCCTGGAGTTTACTCAAACTCATGTCCATCTAGTCGGTTATGCTATCCAACCGTCTCATCCTCTGTCATCCCCTTCTCCTCCTGCCTTCAACCTTTCCAGCATCAGGGTCTTTTCCAATGAGTCAGTTCTTTGCATAAGGTGGCCAAAGTATTGGAGCTTCAGCTTCAGCATCAGTCCTTCCAATGAATATTTAAGACTAATTTCCTTTAGGATGGACTGGTTGGATCTCCTTGCAGTCCAAGGGACTCTCAAGAGTCTTCTCCAATACCACAGTTCAAAAGCACCAATTCTTCTGTGTTCAGCCTTCTTTATGGTCCAAAACTCACATCCATACATGACTGCTGGAGAAACCATAGCTTTGACTAGATGGACCTTTGCTGGCAAAGCAATGTCTCTGCTTTTTAATATGCTATCTAGGTTGGTCATAGATTTTCTTCCAAGGAGTAAGCATCTCTTAATTTCGTGGCTGCAGTTACCATGTACAGTGATTTTGGAGCCCAGAAAAATAAAGTCTCTCATTGTTTTCATTGTTTACCCATCTATTTGCCATGAAGTGGTTGGACTGGATGCCATGATCTTAGTTTTCTGAATGTTGAGTTTTAAGCTAACAGTTTCACTCTCCTCTTTCGCTTTCATCAAGAGGCTCTTTAGTTCTTCACTTTCTGCCATAAGGGTGGTGTCATCTGCATATCTGAGGTTATTGATATTTCTCCTGGCAATCTTGATTCCAGTTTGTGCTTCATTCAGCCCAGAGTTTCTCATGATGTATTCCGCATATAATTTAAATAAGCAGGGTGACAATATACAGCCTTGATGTACTCCTTTCCTGATTTGGAACCAGTCTGTTGTTCCATGTCCAGTTCTAACTGTTGCTTCTTGGCCTGCACACAGATTTCTCAGGAGGCAGGTCAGGTGGTCTGGTATTCCCATCTATTGATGACTTTTCCACAGTTCTTGTGATCCACACAGTCAAAGGCTTTCGCGGGGTCAATAAAGCAGAAGTAGATGTTTTTCTGGAACTCTCTTGCTTTTTGGATGATCCAATGTATGTTGGCAATTTTCTTTCTGCTTCCTCTGCCTTTTCTAAATCCAGCTTGAACATCTGGAAGTTTACGGTTCACGTATTGTTGAGATCTGGCTTGGAGAATTTTGAGCATTACTTTGTTAGTGTGTGAGATGAGTGCAGTTGTGCAGTAGTGTGGCATTCTTTGGCATTGCCTTTTTTGGGATTGGAATGAAAACTGACCTTTTCCAGTCCTGTGGCCACTGCTGAGTTTTCCATATTTGCTGGCCTTATGAGTAACAGCATCATCTTTTAGGATTTGAAAAAGCTCAACTGGAATTCCATCATCTCCACTAGCTTTGTTCGTAGTGATGCTTCCTAAGGCCCACTTGACTTCGTATTCCAGGATGTCTGGCTCAATACAGAAATTCACTTTCCAGAATGATGGTCAATACAGAAATCAGATTTATTATGTTCTTTGCAGCCAAAGATGGAGAAGCTCTTTACGGTCAGCAAAAACAAGACCAGGAGCTGACTGTGGCTCAGATCATGAGCTCCTTATTGCCAAATTCAGACTTAAATTGAAGAAAGTAGGGAAAACCACTAGACCATTCAGGTATGACCTAAATCAAATCCCTTACAGTGGAAGTGACAAATAGATTCAAGGGATTAGATCTGATAGAGAGAGTGTCTGAAGAACTATGGGCGAAGGTACGTGACATGGTACAGCAGACAGTGATCAAGACCATCCCCAAGAAAAAGAAATGCAAAAAGGCAAAATGGCTGTCTGAGGAGGCCTTATACACATAGCTGAGAAAAGAAGAGAAGGGAAAGGCAAAGGAAAAAAAGAAAGATACATCCATTTGAATGCAGAGTTCCAAAGAATAGCAAGGAGAGATAAGAAAGCTTTCCTCAGTGATCAATGCAGAGAAATAGAGGAAAACAATAGAATGGGAAAGACTAGAGATCTCTTCTAGAAAATTAGAGATACCAAGGGAACATTCCATGCAAAGATGGGCTCAATTAAGGACAGAAATGGTATGGATCTAACAGAAGCAGAAGACATTAAGAAGAGGTGACAAGAATACACAGAACTGTACAAAAAAGATCGTAGTGACCCAGATAACCAGGATCCTGTGATCACCCACCTAGAGCCAGACATCCTGGAATGGAAAGTCAAGGAGTAGACCTGATAAGACCTTTCTATTGTTAGTTCTAATATTGTTTATTTAAGGTGTATGTTGTGGGAGCGGGTCTGGTAAAAGCATAGAAGGCCTTGATAAGACTAGAGAGCGGTCCCTCTCCATCTGCCTTCTGATGTCTATGTCAGAAGGTTTCTCTCTCCTTTTTCACTGTGATAAAACTTCTGCCACACTAAAACTCTGAGTGGTCAAGCCTGGTCCCTGGTCCTACAGCTAAATCTTCCTCTGAGGCCGAGAGCCTGACATCATCCCCCTTAAGCTACCAGTAGCAAAGTGGGTCAGTTATCCATAGTCCCCCTCTTGGATTTCCTCCCCATTTCGGTCACCGCTGAGCATTGTGTAGAGTTCCCTGCGCTGCACTGTAGGTTCTCACTAGTTACCTCTTTTACACACAGCAGTATGTATATGTCAGCCTCGATCTCCAATTCTTCTCATCTCCCCTTGGTATCTATACATTTCTTCTCTATGTCTGTCTCTCTTTCTGCTTTGCAAATAGGCTCATCTGCACCAGTTTTCTTAGATGAGCCCTCAGCATTCACTGTCAAGCATATCTCCCACCAGCTGCTTCCCTCTCTTCCTCCTCTTGTTCATCATTGCCAGCTCTGTCTTTGAATACCCCTCGGCTTCATATGAAGCTTGGGATGGATGGGGTATTTTCGATAAAAGAGTTCTCTCAAACCATTCATCAAGGAAGACAGACACACTCTTGCCAATAGCCAATGTGTGCTTGCTTTGTCCCTTGCTTCTTGTAGGACTTGGGGGAGGCCCCAGCTTTAGTGAGGTGCCACCCCTGGGTATTCATATTAGAGCCATCCTGTTTCAAATCTCCCTGCTGTCCGGGTCAGCCTGGGGAAGTTACCTATCATTTTAGAATCTGCATTAGTTCACGTGATGAGAGGAAAACTGTACATGCTGGGGGAAGGTGGAGGCTTGGAGAAGCACGGTATATATACAGTTGACCCTGCCACCTTCCGAGATAATAAATCATACAATAAAGTCACATTGCTATGATATTGACACAGGAATGGAAAGTAGATGCATGGAACACGATACACATTTCAGAAGTAGGTCTTAATTATATATGAGAATATGGCAGCTAAGAGATTTCACGTCACTGCCTTTTGCCTGTCCCCCAGCCGTGGTCCCCACTGCCCCTCTCAGATCCCTGCCGTGGTCAGTTACGCACATTGCCCGGATAGCAAGGTGCCCCCTCTTCTCAGGCATCTGTGGAAGCTCTACCAGAAACAGTGACTCCATATGAGACAGGATTTTCCACTCACAGATGTTGGCAGACGAGGGGAGAGGCTGAACGCCATGAGCCCGCCATTTCTGAATGAGTCTATAATGTGTGGATGGCTCTTATACACACCCTGGGAGTAATGAGAGGGATTCCTGTACCAGCAGGCTGCCGTGTTCTTAACTGAGTCAGGCAGATAATTGCTTCCTCTGGAATGATCGACATGGAACCCGTTCTTCAAAGGATCAAACATACCTAACCAGATGCTACTTTTTTAATCTCTTCTGAACCTTCCAGCTGCAAATTTCTCTTTTATCTATGCTCACATAATGCTTGATTGTTCTCTGATAATACAAATTATTTGTAGCCAAGCAGTTAAAATTATTCATCCATAAAAAGGGACAAAACTGGGTCATTTGTAGTGTTGTGGATTGATCTAGGGTCTGTCATCCAGGGTGAAGTCGGTCAGAAAGAGAAAAGTAGATGCTGTATATTAACGCATAGACGTGGAATCTGGAAAAATGGTACTGATGAGCCTCTTTGCAGGGCAGGAATAGAGATGTCCATTCTCACATAGAGACTGGATTTGTGGACACCGCGGGGGAAGGAGAGAGTGGGATGACTTTAGAGAAGAGCACTGACGTATCTACACGACTGTGTGTAAATAGACAGCTAGTGGGAAGCTGTTCTGGCC